TGCTGACGTTTTGGGTCTGGACCCTTCTTCAGAAATGGGGGAGGGGAAGGGGACTCTGAAATAAATACAGAGGGGGGAGGCAGATGGAAGGTGGATAAAGGAGCAGATAGGTGGAGAGGAGACGGACAGGTCAAGGAGGCGGGGATGGAGTACCTGATTTGCTTCAGGACATGATGGAGCAGTTTCAGGGCCAAAGAGATTACCAGAGGGTTGCAGTGGGAGAGAGATCCACTGAGGTCTTTCTGGAAGGAGGAGGGTAACTTCTTCAATGTAGGCATCCCTCGAAGAGACTTCGCAGTGGGGTTAAAACTGATTCAGAGATAGTAGGAACTGCTGATGCTGGAGAATCTGAGATAACAAGGTGTAGAGCTGGATGACAACAGCTGGGGACAACAGTGAGAGGCAGTTTATTTTCTTTCAGATCTCTTCATTGCTACCCCTGGCCTTGATTCCCATCCTTGGCACTGATTGCCCCCTGGTTGAGGAGACTGGATGCTCCCTTCCATCCCCTAGCCACATGAGTTAGCGAGGCCACCCTGGTTTCACAGTCAGAAAACAACTACTTTTCTTGCTTGTTGGAAAGGCAGGTAATTAGGCCTGTGGCGAGCTGAAGCCCTTAAATGGTTGTAAACTGTCCTCTTAAGGTTCTTAATAGGTGGCAAGTTAAGAAGGCTTCCTTTGGACTTTCTTGTTCAACACTTAGTGTCATAGAGTCATGCAGCAGGGAAACAGTCCCTTCTGTCCAACCAGTCCATGCTGACTCTGTTCCCAAACTAAATCAGTTCCCCCTGCCTGCACTTGGCCCATATTCCCCCAAACCTTTCATATTTGTGAATTTATCCAAATGTCTTTTAAATGCTGTAACTGTACATGCATCCATCACTTCCTCTGGCAGTTCATTCCACACATGAACGACTATCTGTGTAAAAAGTTAACCTTAATGTCATTTTTAAATCTTTCTCCCCTTACTTTAGAAAATGCCCCATAGTTTTGAACTCCCTTGTCCTAAGGAAAAGATCCTTGTTATTAACCTTATCAATACCCCTCATGATTTTATAAACCTCAGTAAGATCACCCCTCAACCTCCTGTGCTCCAGTGAAAAAAGTCACAGTTTCTCCAGTTAATTTTTCTGTCTCAAACCCTCAATTCCCAGCAACATCCTAGTAAATATTTTCTGAACCCTCTGCAGTTTAATAATATCCTTCCTAGAATAGGGTGATCAGAACTGTTGACTTGGCAAGAAAGGGGCAAAGATGCCTCCAGGGTCAGTTTGCCCTCCTCACCACCTCCAGGGAGGGGATAATTGTATGCATAGAATATAAATCAAAGAGAATATGCTAAACCTTTAAAGAACACTAATTAGTATTCAGCTAGGATATTGTGGTCAATACTGGGAACCAGACTTTAAGAAGCATTTCAAGGACTTAAAGAGGATGCAGAGATTTATTACAATACCTTTTAGGGATAAAAGCTTCACTTGTTTAGAAAAATGAGAAGAATGGCATTGATTTCATTCAAGAGGAGAAGATTAAGTCAAAATACGATCAAGTTATTCAAAATTTTAAAAAATTTAGGACGAACAATAAGGTGATCTACCTTATAGTGGAAAGAAGGTCATAACTAAAGGAGACAAAGCCACTATGATGAGAACCCTGGCAACATGAGAGCAATAAAAAAAAACATAATTTGTCTTGATATGAAAATGCATTCCCTGTAAAGGTCGTGGGAGTAGATTCCATGACTTTCAAAAAGGAATTGGATAAATGCTCGTAAAGAAAAGTCTGCTGATATTAATATGAGAAAGAGCAGAGGAGTGGGACCAATTAGATAACTATTTCAATGAGCTGGCACAGGCATGGGGGGCTGAAGGATTGCCTTCTGTGCTGTAAAATGACACGGTTCAATGATATAACCTCTGCTGACTGATTTACCTCCACTCTTTTGCACTTTACAATCTTGGTTCCCTGAAATAAGGACCTTCGTTTTCACCTTGACTGTTCAATGAAAAATAGTGACTATATCTTTTATCTTCCTCCCTTAATAACAAATGCAAGAAAAATACAATTTCCCCAGGATGTTTGGCTTTCCCAGGGTCACGTGAATCACTATCAAAATTGCATATGTGAAACAGTATGCTTCATCAGTGGACGCTGATTCTGTTTAATACAATTGTGACATGCCACACAGATGACAATAATTAATTTTGCACGATCTAGCCATTGATTTCTGTATTCTGTTTTTTACCTGGTGTGTTATACCTTATTTTTTTTTAAAAGAGGTGAACATTGTGGTGCTTTCTTCCCCACTGGGGTTTTTCAGTCCAGTAACAATTCCCTGCCCTTTCTTTCTGGCCCTTCATATTTCTTTAAACTATCACAGAGCACATAATTTCCCTTCTGTACGTACATAACTTTCAGTTCTGACACTTCACTGCAAGCCCATTGCAGTCTGGACTTTAGATGAAGCCTTTAAGATGAGATTGTCACCACCCATTTTATATCTTCTAGTGTCTATGACAAAATGCCACATATTAATTCTGGGAATAGAACGTGCATCTAATTTGAGCGCTCAACAAGAACACCAATCATTCACAAGGTGGGCACAGCATAATCAACTGAACAATCCCATTGATACTGTTTTAGCAATGTATCTTAGTCTTAGTATTAAAGGCGATTGATTGGTGGCATTGGCATTGGCAAAAACAGCAGCTGCAATTTATGAAACTACAAATTGATTTGAATCCATTAGGTGAGCGAGATAAACATTGCAATGGAACTCTGCAGTCTTCAGATGGCTGATTAACTCAAGGCAGCAGCCTGTTGTCATTTTGTAGAAGCAGTATTTGGTTGTTTCTGCTTCAGAACCCATGGCAAACATAAGTCAGAAGCTCTGCTACTGTCCTTTAAAATTGCATTAATAGTCCCAACTATGTTATTTAGTCCCTGATTTCCAATGGAACAAGGTGTACTGCTTGTTGCAGTTGGGCATTTTGACTTTTCAACAGCCTGTGGGCTAATAAAATTGCCAATCCCATTTTTATGTTCTTTCCACTTTAACAACAATGATTCTCCCTGTGGCCAATTGGCCCTGGACACAGTGAACTCCACTGTTACAAACAGTCCTCTTTCCTCGACCTGTCATCCTTCAATTTTCTCGATATTGTGGAGTTGAAAACAATCTGTGAAATTTGACAGTGCCTCATTCATTACTCTTTCTCCACCAAGCCTTTGTCCCTTTCAATTTTTGACCAACTCAAAACCTATAGACTTTCTAATTGTACAGTGAGTTTTATAGTAACTTGAAATGTTTCATTTGATCTTAACTTCTGAAGTGCCCCTGCCAAATTGCTTTGTGGAGACGAACATGTTGGAATGAATGATATGTTCATACTTATTGTGATCAGAAAGGTATGCTCAAGAAGTAGGGCATCACAGTGTCAGATTTAGATGCTCAATCTACTGTCATATCACAATGAAATAAGCCTATTTTACTTGTGTGGAACAAATTGTGTAGCAGAACAATCATGACAGATAGTCAGAGAGATATACAGCATGGAAACAGACCCTTGGTGCAACTCGTCTATGCCGACCAGATATCCTATATAAATCTTGTCCCATCTTCCAGCATTTGGCCGCATCTCCTTTGAAAAGTTTACTTATTGTGGTTTGCTCACATCTCCTCAATATAAATGAGAAGGTTGACTGCTTTTATGCATTATTTGTTTTTAGTGCAATATCTATTGATAAAAGTGCTTTGTGTTTACTATTATATAACCACATGTTGTCTTCATTGCAGATCAGCCCTGTGGTGGATTAGTTCAAGGACCAAATGGCACAATAGAAAGTCCTGGATTTCCTTATGGTTACCCAAATTATGCGAACTGCACCTGGATTATCATTACAGGAGAACGGAACAGGATACAGCTGGTATTCCAGATCTTTGCTTTAGAAGAAGACTTTGATATTTTATCCGTTTACGATGGTCAACCACAGCAGAGCAACTTGAAAATGAGGTACAGTGTCATTTGTTTATGGAAAGAGCTGGAATATACTTGTCAGCATTAAAGTAGTTGATAGATGTGTTTGGTAGCTCTTTGTAAGAGCTAATGCAGAACTTGTGATTGTTGCATGCAGATCAGTCCATTCTTTTGATTAAAAACATATACATTCATGGGTGAAGAATTTAACAAATACTTCATTTTGCTATTTGAAATTTCTTATGTTCCATTATGTCTTTTAGCTGCTTTGTAAAAGATAAAGCCTTCCTGATTTGGGAGCAACGGTTCAATTTTGCAATTTTTCCTTTTTTACCCTGGTCAGGGGTACAGGTTGATGGTTTGTTCCGAGAGCTTTGCCAATGGCACTTTGTCTTTGACTTTACACAGCATCGTTTGTGGCAACAGAGTCTCTGCTTCTTCGCAGTGGGATATTTTGGTCTTCTCACATCATAGCACAAGTTAGGCTCAGACATGAATTCTGGACTTAAACCCACGTCATGTTCCCTGATGGATTGTGCTTAATCCCTTGAAAGGATTGATTATAATGCCTACTTTATATCTCATTAGTTGTAGTTGTAGTTTACTTTGTCGGATTCTTGGCAAATGAAGTGAAAATCTCCAGTTTTTGTGTAGCAACATGATGTAACTGAAAGCATTATTAAAGCCAAAATCATCATATGACAGCTGCTTCACAAACAACATTACAACTGGAGGATTTTTTTTTAAATTAACAAGCATTGTCTTTAAATTAGAAATTTGGTAACTGATGGAGAATAAATTTTTGGTTTAAGAAGCACAATACAATATTCATTTAAACACAATTGACAAAAAGCCCAAATGATAGATTCCCCCCAAGAAAGCAATATCTTCGATCTGCCTTTGGTCTAGTTGGTGCAGAAAAAATTGTGACAGTGAAATAATTTGTAAATGATGTCAGCTGGAAGGCAAAACATTTCATAGTTCTGCTTTCAGATTTATTGCTGGGAATTATAGCAAACCTTTATAAGAAAGCCATCTATCTGCACTGAATTTCTAACAATAGGCACAACAACAAACCAACCATTGTGACATTGACTAATTTTAGGAGGGCCATTGGCTGGATGCTGCTACTTTTAATAACATTACACTATCACTTGCAATTTGATTTAAATTGTGTCTCTCGTAAGTACAAGTGGCCATCTTAATATTTGATGACATAGCTGGGGATAGAAAGAAACCTTGACAGAACAACAACTGAAGTTTGCTGTACACAATATTATCTGTTATTAATTGGAATATAGCGAGATTAATATTATTGTTGAATTAATGTTTGGTGATTTAGAAAAGCTGAAAGAAAGATGTAAACTATGACAAATGCCCAAATAGGTACCTGATAGAAAATGACAAATTTGCAACTTATTCAGAACTCTTATGAAAATTGATCATGACCTAGGTCCCAGGTACAGGTCAAGAGGTCAACTAAGCTAACTACAGTAAAGGTAAAGTTGCCATATTTCCAGAGGACCATGCAACTACTATCTTAGCGAGACAACCGGTGATGAGTTTAACCTGAGGGACATCACACTTCAGGCAAAGGGCAGGGTTGAGAATGCAAGACCTTCATGGTGTCTTCAGCTGGTACAGGATTTGCAGCTTTTGGCATCACTCTGCATCATAAACCAGCTATCTAGCCAGGTGAGCTAACTGACCCCATTAAGTTTTTAAATGTTGCAAATAGGTATTGATAATGATCCTGTACTGAAAGCATCTCAATCAATAAGCATTTTCTAGTGGGTAAGTGTCTCAAGAAATGTGAAGCTAAGGTGCAATAAAAAAGTATAAGGCTCAGAACATAATCTGACTGGCAGACCTGTTCCTATTTTATTATTCAATCAGGCATGTAAAATATCAACCACTAGTTAGTCATTGCTTCAAAACAGCAAAAACAAAATCTGAAGGAGGAAGGAAGACTCCAGCAACAACCTGAGAAATGTAATATTTCTGTTCCATGACAGCCAATGCTTTGGAATTTTCTCATGCTGCCATTCACAAATCTGTCTTTACAAGAAGGCATTTTAGAAGTGAAAGCACTGATACTGTGGCCACTGGGGTTCCACAGAGATCAGTACTGGGACCACAAAAATCCTTGAATTCTGGAGACGTACCTGAAGATTGGAAAACTGCCAATGTGACACCCCTATTCAAAAAGGGAGGGAGGCAAAAAGCAGGTAACTAGGGGCCAATTAGCGTAACATTATTGGAATCAATATAAGGAAGTAAGAACAGAGCAGTAGGAAAATCATAATCTAATTCAGCAGACTCAGCATCATTTCATGAAAAGGAAATCACGTCTGACTAATTCATTGCCGTTTTTTGAGGAAGTCTCAACCAGAATGGATAGAAAGTACCAGTAGATGTGTCGTTTTTGGACTTCCAGAAGGTTTTTGACAAGGTACCTCACAAGAGTTAAATCATAAGATAAGAGCCCATGGTGTTGGAGGTAGTATACAGGCATGAAAAGTGAATTGGCTAATGGGTAGGAAACAGCAAGTGGGGATAAGGTGTTCTTTTCAATGTTGGTGACCCGTAGCCAGTGTAGTTTTAAAGGGGTCAATGCTAGGAATGCAACTGCTTGCAATATATACTAATAACTTGGAGGAAGGGAGCGAATATACTGCAGCCAAGTTTTCAAATGATTTAAAAAAAGAGTGGAACGGCAGGTTGCAAGAGGGAAACAAATAGTTTACAGTGAGATATTGATGGGTTACGTAAGTGGCAGAAAGTTGGCAAGTAGAGTATAATGTGGGAAAATGTGAAGTTGTTCATTTTGAAGGGAGAACAAAAGATCAGAGCATTATTTAAATGGAGAAATACTGCAGACAGGTGCAACACAAAGGGACATGAAAAATAGAAAGCCAGCACACAGGTGCAGCAGGTAATCAGGAAGACTAATTGAATGTTGGCCCTTGTTTCAAGGGAGTTGGAATATAAGAATAATGAAGTCTTACTGCAACCGGATAAAGTGCTCGTGAGACCACATTTGGAGAGCTGTGAGCAGTTTTTGTTCCCTATTTAAGGAAAGATCCCATTACATTAGCAATATTTCAGAGAAGGTTCACTGGGATTATCCCCATACTGTCTCATGAGCAAAGGCTAAACAGCTTAGGACTTTATTTACTGGAGCTTATAAAAATGAGAGGTGATCTCATTGAAACATATGGGATTCTTAAGGAGATTGACAGGTCAATGCTGAGAGGATATTTCCTCTCACGGGAAAATTTAGGATCTGAAGACACAGTCTCAGAATCTAGGGACATCAAGTTAAGACTGAGATGAGGAAGAATTTCTTCTGTCAGAGAGTTGTGAGTCTTTTGAACTCCTTACAACAAAGAGCTGTGGGGCAGACTCCTTGTGTATACTTAAGGCTGAAATAGATTCTTGATCAGTAGGAGAGTCGAGAGCTATGGGGAAAGGGCAGGAAAGTAGATGTGAGCAATGTCAGATCAGCTATGATCCTATTGAATGATGGAGCAGGCTTGAGGGGCCAAATGGCCCACTCCTGTTCCTATTTCTTCTGGTCTTATTGTCTTTATAGTGTGTTTCTCTTATGATACATCTCACTGTTTTTACCAACAGGGGAGTATCCTATACCAGACAATTCTGGTCCAAGGCCAGGGAACTGGAATTTCTTAACACAACAGGAGTGGAACATTCAATTAAAACTCAGCCAGTCATATTCTTTCCATCCTTTTGGGTTGAGGTGGGGGGCGCATAAAGAAATTTCAGTGATTAGCTTGTGTGCATTTTTACCACCTTTCGGCTCTTTTTGACAAATCTGCCAGAATTTTGTTTGTTAAACAGCCCCAACATATCATTCTGTGGAAAAATTATGAAAAACCTAGAAATATAACTGAAGATGTGAATTGATTGCGTATGAGCGGCAGCAATATAAGAATATCTGCATGACTTAATTACAAAGGAGGAGGCTTTCCTGTGTTTTCAGTATGGTTTTAAAGATTGACAAATAACAAAGTCCATGTACAGAATTAAGCGCAGCATTACTGTATGAAAATGTTGTCTGTGTGGAAGCTATATTTAGTCCCCTACACTAAAGTTGAAAACAATGAGCTCAATTGTGTAAAAAGAATGATAGAAGTGAGTTCAGCAAACTTATTAGCAGTGCCTAAAAACAATCCCTGTAGTGAAAGTTGAACATAAATAACACAGCTATGATTGTAAACAAATGTAATGCTGAGAGAAATCACTGTAAACTTAAACCATTTGTTGTAAACATAAATTCCATTACTCCAATGGAATTTGCTTCATTGAGGACAGTCATTGAACAATGTGATAACGATTTATCCAAACAGTATTGAATGGCCAATCATTCTTTGAAGCAAATGATGTGAACAAGTGTGGAACAAGCATTTTGCACAATCAGCTTCACTTGTCCATGTTGTGGGCTTCATCCTGCTTAGTTATTTATTTCAAAACTCGACTTTCTCCAGAATTTCAGTCTGTTTGCTGCCAGGAACATATAGAGCCAGAAACACTTGAGGCTCATGAGATCTTGGATTACTTGTTCCAGTTTTGGTTTGGATTTTTCAAAGCTTTCTTTTCAATCAACAGAGAAAACAGCTTCTGTCAACAGATCTGGAACTCAAATCTTGGAAGCTGTACCTTCTGCCCTTGTGGAGATGTGTATCTGAGAAACAGAATCAGTTGGCCGAATATAATGTAATACTTAGAATTACATAGTATTTTATGAAGTTGTATCCCTATGCTTCATGCAACAATTTACTTTTGAAGCGAATGGGTTAGAAACTTTCCCCAGGTATACAATATATGAAACAGCTCACAATAGTGAGCTCCGAACATTGGAGATGGTGTGGGTAAGCATCAAATGTGACAACTCCAGAACAGCTTGCTGTGTTTGGTGGAGCAACAGTTGAAGGAGAGAGGGAATATTTGATTGGAGGGACAGTATTTGCAGGAAGAAGGGAGTGTCTATTGGGAGGAGGAGCAGTGAGGGTGGG